TCTATCTATCTATCTATCTATCTATCTATCTATCTATCTATCTATCTTTTCATTAATTAAAGAAAGGCAGGTGCAGGATGAGGCAGAAACTCAGTGGTGAAGCTGTGAATGTTGTTAAAGGTGCATGCACTTTCTCCATCAGGCCACTTGGTGTCTCTGAAAATAAAGGGCAGGGTTTTGGCAGCAGATGGAGTTGATTTGAGTGACAGCTGAAGAAGGGTGTCATGAGAAACAGGTGATGGGGACAGGTGGCTATGAGCGATGAATTACGATGACAGCAGAAGAACATAAAAATGCAAAGACTGCAGAAGGAAGGAGAAAAAATACAACCAGTACTGCAAGTTGTTCATGCCAACAAATAAGTGAGCATGCACGTGAAGGTCTAGAGCAGGAGCTCAAAAGAGCCATTTATGCCCCTTTGTTCACTAATTACAGTGTGTCTGGAGCCATAACAGTCTGCTACGACTGTGATCATCAACTGGTGGCTCGTGGACCACTTTAAGTTTGTAGAAGGGGGCTTTTCTGGCCAGTAGGGGTGACATTATAAAGCTGAATATATCTAATGATTTTTCACATTTGTTGTTCACATTTTAACACAAAATAAAAGAACATTCTTGTAAAGAAGGAAAAATAATATAGTTTTGCCCAATAAAAAAACCTAAAACTATGAACTATACAGCTCATTCACTTTATGCTTTATTTCTTCAAAAAGGATACTTAAATTTTCCACAATAATAAAAAAAATCAGATAGTGAATATGTTTTACTCCTTGTATTAGCTCTAGTATTCACATATTTGCAAAGGAAATGACAAGAAAACTGCTAAAACTAGCCATTTTGTTGTGCTAAGCTTTAATAAAATTCAGTTTTATGTTTGTTTTGGTCAAAGCTTGAAAGAGCCACTGCAGAGGAACCAAAGAGCCACATCTGGCTCCAGAGCCGCAAATTGTAGACCCCTGGTCCAGAGTGATGAGTGAGATGTAATGGCATAGCAGCACAAAACACAAATTGCACCATCATCAGTAAAAAATGCAAACACAACTGTTCTTTGTGTGTGTCTATCGGTCACACACGTGTGTGTATCTTATGTCTACACATGAATAAAAATGCAGACTTTTCAATATATTATATTTATTATATTATATTTCTTACAACAGGTTGATTCAAAAGTTGGGGTACAACTGGAAGTATATTCTTATCGGGAGAAGAGCTACAGTATATTAGTTGTTTTGTATCACACACGTAAAGAATAGGCAGTGACACAAGACTGTTGCATCTATAGGTTTGAAATATAAAAAATAAAATAACTAAAATTCTAAAAATTAAAATTTTCACTACAACCAGCAAAAATAATATTTTTTGGACATTGTTGTGGTGGTATTAAACGTCAAAATTTAGGGTATTGTTTGATTTTCGTCCTCTGTTTTTAAACTATCGTCTCATATCTGATTTTTTCCTCTTTCTCTTTATTTCAGGTTATGATGTGAACTTTCAGCAACGTTTTTCCCAATGATTGAGACCAGTGCATTGAGTATGTTGGACAGAACTGAACCAGCGCAGTGCACAGTGTGCTGCTGCACTCTGGTCAATAAAATCTTCATGGTGCTCTTCATGGTGCTGCTGATATTCGCCACCTTAATTGGGAATTTGGTGACGCTGGCTGTGGTGGTGGGGAACAAACACTTCCACACGCCGCAGGGCTACCTGAAGGCCTCCCTCGCTGTTGCTGATCTGGCTGTGGGGATATTTGTGGTGCCGTTGACGGTCTATGCTGAGGTCTACATTATGGTAGCTGGCTCAGCACCTGAGTGGACCTCATACAACTCCCAATCTGTGACGTTTCACCCGTGCAACATCATTGGTCCAATTTTTGCTGGGTGCACCTTTGTCTCCATCACAACCATCTTCCTGCTCACAATAGAGCGGAGCATTGCAGTGCTGAGGCCGCTGCACAAGGACTCTGTTATTACTCGTAAAAGGACAACAATCCTCATTTTCTTCTCCTGGGTGGGGAGTTTCTTCTTGGCTGTGTCTCCAATGGTCTTCAGCAGTGAGATTGCGCTTGAGTATAACTCCTGCAGCAGGATGTGTAACTACGCTTTGGGGACCATTGGCGAGTTTCCCAGCCAGGCTTGGAACATTCTCCTCCTTTACCCTGCATTTGACTTTACTCTGCTCGGAGGTACTGTTGTCATTAACATCATTTCTCTGTCCAGCATCAGGCAGCACTCAAAACACAGGAAAACACTGGCAGAAACTGAAATCCATACCACAAGTAATCCAACCTTCTCAGACATTAAGGCAGCTAAGACCATAGGGACTCTGACAGTGGCCTTCACGGCGTCCTTCACCCCCATCGCCGTCTTTGTGGTTGGGAACGTTTTGGGAAACGAATGGTGCAACTTCTCCTTCTTTGCCTTCTGGATTTTGGCTACAAACAGTTGCTGGAATGTCATTATATACAGCGTGAGGGATCAGAAATTCAGACTGCGTGCACATAAACTTCTTATGCCTCACAGACAAAACACCACCAAAACATAAACACAAACAACTGAAGACTTATTGATCAGGGTAATGGCACCTAGATGTCTTTTAGGTGTTTCTAATCTTTTAATCCATCCCAATGTGACTTTCATTTAAAGACATAATCTGCATGTCTTGTACATTACTACTCCGAAAATGCTTGAGGCAGTTTTTAAATAAATAAAAAGCATGAAATGTTTTATTTATAGTGGATGTAAATTTCCTTTTCTTTGGTCATTTGCCTTGATCTGTGTGATGTTAACGAATGGAGGCCTGCCCCTGTTTGTAAAAAGGTTGTTCATCTGAGAGTAATTTATTACATAAATAATAAAACTGAAAGTTGTTTCTGTTTTTACAACGTAAAGTGTTTATGTGTTGCATAAATACTTGCTTCAGTCAAAAGTATTGGTGGAGAATTAGGTATACTTTTGATAATTGTATGGGTTTTATATTTATGGTGAACAAACATGAATATCAAGTCAAATCTATTTTTACAGAGAGGAAACCACGAGTCCTTTAACAGTGAGAGACACTGCATGAAAAAGTGACAATAAATCCCATCATTTTATGTATAATTTTTATAAGTTGCAAAAACATTGTGGAAATAAGAATAATTTGTTTGCAAAGATTTTAAAATTATTGAACACTTAAAAACAAATGAAAAAAAATAACCCCGTAAAAATAATACTGTGATTGTGTACCATAGATTATATCAGTGCCAGTTCAGATATGTAAGGTCCAACTTTCTGTGACCCGTTCAAACTTTGCATATACTGTATAATTATAATATATAACAATGTAGCTTAACTTTAAAGCTCCAGTAAGAGTTGGGTTTCTTCTTTTTGTTTTGCCAAAACCATATTGAAAGCCATTGGGGTATTTTTTGTAGTTTCTTGCTGATTTATGTCTACATTGCACAGTTAATCTAGTAAAAGTCATAGCACACTGTTCTTGATTGAGTCACAAGTTTAAATGCATAATTCACACATTTTATTTCAAATATTTATGTTTCAGTGTTTATGAATTGGCATATTTAAAGACAACAACATACAGCAGAACAGCTGAGATGGGTCAATATTTTTATATTACAGGGACTTAAAACCACTTCCACACAAACTATATCTAAAACAGTTATGATATGAGACTAAATGTATATTTTCTCGTGTTTAAGCAAATTTTTTACAACATCTGAAATATATAGCATAAATCCGGTCTTTTGTTTGATGCATTTATTTATTTTTTTCCCCTTTCGGCTCCTGGCTTCCTGACGCAACCACAAACCACTGAGCTACCACAGCCTTCTGTGTGGAGCAGAGAGCTGCTATCTAGGACACCCGGAGGTGCAGATGGTGGGGGTTAAGGGCCTTGCTCAAGGGCTCAGTGGGACGAATGAGGGTGGGTGCTTCACCTACCCCACCCACATTTTTGATGTAGTCGGTACTGGGGCTTGAACCGGCGATCTTCCGATCACAGGCCCACCTTCTCTAACCTCTGCGCCACCACTCCCCTTGTTTGAAGCATAAAGGTCTATAAATGTATTTTTGGTGCATAAATAAAATTATATCTTCTAAATGTTGAAAAACAGACAACTATACTGTATTTTCTTTAAATAAAAAGACTTTGGCGAAGATCAATATAACCTGAGACTTTTGTGTTTGCACACAAGATGATTGTTATGAAATGTGAAATTGTCACAAGTTTTTACATTTGCATGATATTGTTTCATTGAACATCCTTTCAACAAAAAAACAACAACAAAAAATCCCTTTCCCAAGTGAGAATTTGATTTCTTCACATTTCCTTTTCAGCCGAGGTGGAACTCACTTGTATCATTTAATAAACTTATTTTTATAAGAATTGCGACCCAGTGATTTGAAATTAACATTCAAACCACAGCTCCACTGGTTAGGAGGTTGGGAATTTGTGAAATGTAATTAAAAATTAAATGCGATGTTCTAGTAAATATTTAAACCCTATAACTGACTGACAGAATTTTAAATACATAAAACTTTAAAAGACATTAGCTCAGCTCAAGTTTGGTGCTTTTAATAGATTAGTAGAAAAAGCACACCAATTTTTTTTGGTGTCACTTATGACTGTAGATCAAAAAATAACTCAATATTATTTTTTAATTTGCACACTCTAGTTTAATATTCTTAAAACTTTATTCAATCATTGTTTAAATAATAATAATAACTGTAACACAGATCCTCACGACAGCCTGAATGCCATCGCATTGACTTGATAAATAAAAAAAGGAGATAAAAAAAAAATTGGTCTTTTTTTTTTTTACAATGTAAAACATTACAGAAACTTTGAATCTTTTAAATCTTTTTATAGCATTCAGGTGATGAGACTGAAAATTTGAAACTAAATGACTATGATCTTTGCACCAACAGCTAACCAGGCATTCAAAGCAAACATTTATTATTATTATTATTATTATTAGTTTATAAAATGTTTATTCCCAAAGAAAATATCTACAAAAACATGAAGATTTTACAGATTCATTCCTCCAGGTGTGAACATGTGTGAGTCAGGGGTGGTTATACTTGTTGAGTGGACAAGCATGTAGTGAACATACTATACAGGCTGCTGCAAAAATGTAAAGCAATAAATGAAAACATTAACTCTCTTGTTTGTGCAGTTTTTGTGTTTTTATATATACAGTAATGTAAAAAACACACATTGCTGTGTTTCTTTCTCTTGCAAAAATCTTGCCTTGGTATAACTGTTGACAGCTCTAAAAGGGTTGGTAAGTCAAAAACAAAAGTAAATAAATAAAAAATACAACTACAGCA